TTAATATATATATATTAATATTTACCTAAAATATAAAAATAGATAGAAATACCTCTGAAAATGAAGAGGGTATTTTGGTCATTTTAAATTATTGAAATATTTTTTTTATATTTTTATATGGTGTGCAATAGTGTTAGGTATATACATCCAAAATTTCATATTAATTAGATTTATATAAAAAAATTAAAATTAAAATAGTGATGTACATTCTGAACCGCATGATAAAAATCTAATGGCTCCCATTCCACCTATATACTATTCATTATAGTCGGCCAGCTGTTGTAAGGTTTACTTATATATATATATATTCGAGTAATTCATTGTGGATGATTAGCCCCTACCTGTTTTATAAATCGTTAATGGTTTTTTAATGCCTTAGGTAATAATGGAAGCCTAGACTTTAGTTGATGTACAAGTGGTACTACCACCACAACCCCAAACCCATTCTCATATATAATATATTACCTATGTAGTACTCCAACAGGTTGTCAAATACCGGTATCTAGAGCTTCTTTAACATTCCAACAGGTTATCAAACACAGGCACACAAAGCTTCCTTCTGAGATCTTCTTTCTTTTCAGCAAAGAAAAACTTCCAATTTCCAACGAACATTTACCTTCCAAATATCAAATAGGCACTAAGAATAGGAGCCTTTTTTATTTTTACGACATGTGTCTATCCTTTAATTGTGGCATAATAATGCAGTATACAAATGTAAAAATCTACACAACATTATTTAAAAACCATGCATGCAATTTTTTAGTTATAAAATTAGATAATTAAGATACTTCTTACATTGAGCATGCCTTTGGAACGAGGAGAGGCAAGAAAGTTGGGCTTTATATATGATGACCATGCGTTTTGTACAACTTGGACAATTTGGAATGACTTTAAGAAGGTAGTTTATTTCATATCCATTTCATGGTACTCGTCTTTCATATTATATTATGCCCTATTTATGATTGAGATCATGTCGACACCATCCCATTATTTTGCTTTCATGGTGTCCATCACTTGATATGAATTTTCTTTTGTAAATCATGGTACTCGTCTTTCATATTATGCCCTAGTAATGATTGAGATCATGTCTCTGGAATATATGTTAAAAAGTTCGGGAGTGTTGTTATGTTGGATGTCAAGTGCACTCTTCAATATGCATTTCATTTGTTTCGTGTGGCAAAAGGCCATATCTGAAAAGATCATATTCAGAGTGATTCTTATTATAAGTAATAGTCTCATTTAGTCATTATGCTATACTTCATGGTTTAGAATTGTTTTAAAATTTTCTCTACTACTCTTTCTAAAGCATTTTATCATCATCCCATCGAAATTCAGAAATTCTAAAATCCCAACGATGCAGAAATCTATCCAATTGACCGATGGGTACCGCACATGTATTATGAACGATGTTTCTAGCGAGTGTAAGATACATTTGATGAACTTCAATTCTTATTTATTCCTTTCTTTAAAATTTACCAGCCGATGCCACCCCTTATTATGTTTCTCCCTCTTTGATGCAGTCTAAAATTTACCAGCGAATGCCACCCAACAAATTAACCGTGTTTAAGAGGGGGAACAAGTGATTGGGGGACAATGTTAGAAAGTTTAATCGATGGGGATGTTAAAAACTTTCCAAAAAAAATTGGGAACTCTTGAATCACATCACCACGATGGTTAGAGAGAGAAAGAGAGTGGATGGTTTTTTTGTTTAAAAAAAAAAAAAAACCAACAAGAACTCTTGAATCACGTGATGGTCAAAAAGTGAGAAAGAGACAGAGCCATTTCGTCCAAGGTATGAAGTGAAAACGAGTGACATGAGGAGGCGGAAAGTACGTGACCGTTATAAACATCTCCTTTTTCCTAATTCCCTTATCTGTGTCACCGTTATAAACATCCCCTTTTTCCTTATTCCCTTATCTCTGTCTTCCAGTAACGCTGCCACCTCTCTCAATTTACTCTGCAACCGTTACACATTGACTCTCCCCCTCTCTCTCTAACTCTCTCTCTTTCTCTCTCTAACTCTCTCGACAACCCACCATCTCCACCGCACCAGGAGGACTTCTACTTTTCTCGTTCTAAATCAACAAATCAATCTCATAATCATCATTCCTCCCCAATCCTTTCCTCTTCATATTCTTCCTCTTCTTTTTTTCACAATCATTATAATTGATATAATTCTCTGAGATCAAGAGAGAGAAAGGAACCATGTCCAGAAGAGAAACAAAGAAGAAGAAGATGGCCTCTGTTGAGAGAGAGTGTCTTTCATGGCAGGAGAAGAAGGCCATTGCAGACAAAGAAGAAGAGAATATAGAGAAAGAAGTTGAAGAACTACATACTTGGGTATTCTCACTATCGCCACAGTGTATGCCATGCTTTTTAACTGCATTATATATACCTCATATCATCTGCCTTTTGTTTTCTGTTTTGAAATTCTTTTTCTTTCGACAAAGATATGATACAGACCCTTTTTTATATTTATTCTTGTTAAAGCAGACGAGTTTGTTGGAAGGCATGGATGACGAGCAGCTGAAGGATTATTTGTCGAAACGCCCGGAAACCACACAAACTGTGAGAACAGGAAAGATTGCACCAAGCAAGAGGGTAACCTCGATATCATCTCTCTGTTTCTCTCTCATTCTTTGCGAGTGTCATCTGAAAGTTGGAATTGTTATGTTGGTGGTACAGGTGCAAAAGGCCCCGAAGTCGAAGCTATCTTCTTCATCGCAATCATCATCACAATCACATGGATTAATGGCAACCATTTGGAAGTTTCATACAGAAGATGATGAACCTTTAGTTAGTTCGGGGGATTGAGCACTTTTACAGGCAGGAAATACAAAATACAATCTAAAAAATGAGATGATATCAGTTGTATTTGGACATGGAAATTAGTGGGAATATGTATTAATGTACGTATTATTAAATCTAATATTGGTTTCATATGCATGATAAAATTTGTATAACGCCATTTTTAGATGTGTTTCTTCCTGATGGCTATTAAATGCAACCCTAGATTTTAATGGTGATGATTCATAACAGACATTCTGATAAGATGGGTCTTCCTAATTTCATGGTGGCATGACCTTTGTCATCAGAAAAAATAGCATGTGGTTTTGGAAGCTAATACGTGACTGCTTAGCAAGAACTGGCATTTATCTTGAGGAATTGAAGAAGATTCTGGGAATGGAGTATGTGACATTTAATGTTCTTTTTGTTTTTTGAAAAGCATCTCAATTTCTAAAGGGAAACCTTTGATGTCAATTTGAACTATTTAAAACAATCATAATTTATGGTACTGATTCTTCCAGCTAAATGGAATGATCGAGAACAAATTTCATACTTAGTTTGGGACGCATTTTCTTTTGATGAAACAATGGCGGGTGTGGTATTTCTTGGGGATGCTATAACAGTATGACTAGAGAGACTTGCGAGTTGGACAAAGAACTTGGCCGGCAATGAGCTGGCCAAGCCCTGCCTTAGACCCAGACAAGATCCCTGTAAGGCCAGCCCTAGCTTGGCCCTATCTAGACTGGGCCGATGGGCGCTGGCTCCGTAGGAGCCAGTCCGCATCGAGCCTAGCCAAATAAGAGAATAAATTCAAAACCCTGAAAGGAACATACAGGGTTGGGCAGGCCAAATCGGGTCCTGGCCCAAACCCATCTTACACCAAGCTGAAAGGGGCCTAATAAAAATGTGTGGCCCAGGCCCAGCCTTTAGGCTAAAAGAAAGACCTATGTGATCTTTTGCCGCGGAAATACAATTTTTCTTTTTTTAAAAAAAAAAATTAATAACCTCTTAAATTTTTTGCAACAAGATCACTCACAGATGGTCTTATTCCATAAGGATATGTCAAATATTATCAAGTAAATAAATACTACCAAATATAAATAAGATAAGGTCAATATTTACTATCTATTCAAATTGACCACATCCCTTTAAAACAAACTTGTTAAAAAACAAAATATGCCATGGTCAATATTTGCCTTTCAAGATTTTGACCACATGCCACAAATCAAAGTTATCAAAACTCAAAGTCTTTAACACAAAGCAATTTAAAGTGTATCCAAAGGGTGGGTCGCAATCCCAGTATGTGGATTACAGGTTCTCCCCTAGAGACTAGTCAAGGTCACCATGACTTGATGCGACCACAGCTCTATGTTACATAGGGGTATCTCTCGCACATGCATACGCTTCACCCAAAGGTGGATATCTGGCTTTCTCGAACGATCTATCAATATGCATGCCATGTGATGGAACATGGATGAGGTTTGGCCCCTGTCTCAATAGGCCTACCATCACACACAAGGGTCACATAGTCCCCCGGCTCTCTCATCTAGGCATAAGCTCCGATCTCATCAAGGGCTAACCTAAAACCCTCCTCGGTTAATTCATTATGCCTAGATAACTTGGGCTTTCCAACCGACTGGCCTAGATTGATAAGCACAGTCCAGTATAAGCAAACAGCATTCGCTTAGTATGGTCCTCGAG